TGCATGTCTCCCTGCCATCTCTTTTCTGGTTTCTGGCATCTCCTGAAGAAAGTTGGTCTGCCTGAATGGGTAGTAAAGACCTGCATATGAGAACCAAATAATTTTAAAAGCATGAACAGCCCTAGAAATTGTAATCATATATGCATTTGGGGTAAAATGTATTCTGGAAGCCCATGTTTGAACCTGGAGGCAAAAAAAAATATGCAGGAAGGAATAAAGTACAAAAGAGACAAAGAGGCCAGCTGGCAAAAAGCTTCAAATAAAGGAAAATGTTTTGAAGCAGCAGCAAGAGTGAACACGGTGAGCCAGATTATTAAAACCTAGATTTAATATTTTACTTGTCTTTTTCATAACCAGACTAAATGCAAAAACACACAGTAGTACCAAAGGAAAACAAAATACGCTTAACTTATATTAAGAATCCTGTTGGCTCACATGTCATAAGGTAATCACGCCGATGATGCTCTCCATCTGGACACAATGTGATTCAGCTTATTTACACCTCCTTGAAATGACAGCAGAAATGAAAAGCAGACCAGAGTCAATATGCAAGCCAAGCTCACTCCCCAGCAGACACAACATCTTTTATAAACATATGTTTCTAAATAAGGTAGTGCAGAAAATTTCCACTGACCCTTGAGTTATCACTTTGCTATCAGAAATCCTGCTCTTTTGCAAGGTCAGTGCCTTGCTAACTTTATAAATGAAGATTCTATTCTGTCCAAGCACTGGAACTTCCTAGAAATTTTCCGCAAGTGGAATGACTGCCATTTGTTCCAGATAATCATTTTCATGCATCCTAATTAAGACTATTATGTATTTTGTTAGAAGCTAGACAATATGCTTGGCATGATGGGAATATCTTAAAATTACAGTATACTCGAAGAATCAGAATAATAACAATTGAGAAAAATATTTAAGCTGTGTTTCAATTTATGTTTTTTACAGCAATAGCAATAGAACGTAGATTTATATACCACCCCACAGTGCTTTACAGCACTCTCTGGGCAGTTTACAATGTCAGCATATTGCCCCCAACAATCTGAGTCCTCATTTTACCAATCTTGGAAGGATGGAGTCAACTCTAGCCCATCTGGATTGAACTCCACGCTGTGGGCAGAGTTAGCTTGCAATAGTGCACTTTAACCACTGCCCCACTAGAGCTCTTTATATAGATTAATTACAATTTTTAACATACATATACAAAATAGTTAAAACAGAAATGATATTATGACTTGTAAAAATATATCTCAAAAATGTTTAATAGAAAATGAAATTATTTTCAGAAACATTCTCATCAGCACTGGAAAAGCACTGGGGGCTGAAGGGAAATTGTGATTTTAAAACACAGCTTGCTTTTTTAGGAAACATCATGCAAAACAGGGGTGTCAAACTCGTGGGCTTCAGGCTGGATGCATCATGTGCTGGCTGTGCCCACCCCCAGTTTAGCGAAAGAAGTCACGATATGTCATGTGACAATGTGAGTTTGACATCTCTGATGCAGAATAAGGTAACATAATCATGGTGCCTCTACATTTGCTAATCAGATATCTCCCACTCCAGAAAAGATTGTCCTGTTTAGCTTGGTTTACTCCCAGTGGCTTCAGAAGAGACCAAATTTGATCAGCAATCTAATCCTTGGCATCATTTAATAAATTCACTCTAAGACAACAGTGGACAAAGCTTTCTGAATTTGTTGTGCTTGAAACTAAGAGGCTTTGTAACCAGTGATATCATAGAAATAGTTGAAACCAAACATCCTGGATTTTATTTAGCAGATTTACAGAGATTATGGTTATGCTTGTTGTGATGAGGGTGGGAAGATGCTTTCTTAATTTTTTTCTATTTTTTCTTCTTTTTCATCTTGCACCTTTTCTCCCTTTCTTTTCTAGTTTGTATTACCTTTTAGTATTGTAATTAAAACTTTTAATAAAACTATCTTTTTAAATAGTTAGTTGGACCAGGATGGCCAATTAATGTCAACTATGCCAAGACTATCCATAGAATATTTTTGCTATATTGAAAGTGATATAGCTTTATAATTTGATTTTTCCTTCTGTGAATAATAGGCTTTCTGGAAGAAAGAGAAACAATTATGCAATAACGTCAGGATTCCAAGCTCAGAAGCAGATTGTGAGAGCAAAAGGATTGAGAGGTGTGAGATAGCATCACAGTATAAACCCTTTTCCGTTTCTTTCATAGCTTCATTGGAAAAGCTATTTTGTTCTGCTTAAGGGAATTTAAGAATCTCACTCAGCAAAAATCCAATTTCTTTCTTTAAAAATGTTACGATTTATATATTTGTATTGGGTAAGAATTAAGATACTGATGGGCGTTAATCAGAGAAATGAGACAGTATGAAGATGTCTGAAAGGAGCTGACCTTTGTGCTGAATTTTTTGACCAGATATGTAATCTGATGAATTTGCTAAAATCCACAACATTTAATCCAAACCTGTAAGGAAGTGGATTTTATTATTTTTTTTATTTTAATAGGGAATCATATTCTCATATATACTGATTTGCAGGGGGCACAAAACACTAAGGAAGTCATAAAGCCTTTACAATCTCAGTGTCCTCATATACCCGGTAACTGAAATAGTGTTTCTCAACCTCAGGAACTTAAAGATGTGTGGACATTGAATCAGGGGTGAAATCCAGCAGGTTCTGGAGAACGGGTAGTGAAAATTTTGAGTAGTTAGGAGAATCGGTAGCAAAAACTTTGAGTAGTTCGGAGAACCAGCTAATGCCACCTCTGGCTGGCCCTAGAATGGGGAGGGAATGAGGATTTTGCAGTTTCCTTCCCCTGGAGTGAGGTGGAAATGGAGATTTTGCAGTATTATTCTCCTGCCATGCCCACCAAGCCACACCACACCCACCAAGTCATGCCCATAGAACCAGTAGTAAAATAATTTGAATTTTACCATTGCATCGAACCCCAGAATTCTCCAAAGAGCATGCAGTATTCTGTGGAATTCCAGAAAAAGTCCATACAGTTGTTGAAGATGAGAAACACTGAACTAAAGGAACAAGACTTCAGGTTTGCAGGGAAACATTTGGTGACAACTGACAAGTGAGATAGGAATGTGCAGTGTCAGCTGTCAAGTTAAGCACTGCTAGTCTTAGGACACCAGGAACACTGAAGAGCTACCAGTTTTCAGAAGCCATCATCATTGATGATACCATCATCAATGATATCTCTTCCGTTAAGGGAAAAATGATTTGCAAAACAAAAACACAATATGAAATTTGAGAAAAGAAAATTATGCGACTTCAGTTTTTGAAAGACTGTACCATGTACATATAGCCTATGTACATGGTACATATACATATGTGCTCTCTATAAGCATTGTCTATATTATTAGAATATTCAGTTGTAGAAATTTACAGGGCATCTAAAACCTCTATCTACTTTTAACTATAAGTTTAATATCTTGCCTTTTATTCAGATGTTCAAGATGACATATAGTATCAATAGTCCCTCTTATTTTTCCCCACCACAACACCTGTATGATAAGTTGGACTGAGTGAAAGTGACTGAGTGAAAGTCCAATGAGCTTCCATGACTGAAGATGAACTAGAATCTACTCTAAAAGAGAATTTTATTCATTCTGTTCCATTGGCCTACTAAATAATCAATTAATAGTCCAAAAGAGAGCATTTCATGTTTAATATTCATGAATTGCTTAAGTCTGAAATCAGATTATTTCTGGCATTAAAATCTGTATTTTCTTAAACCTTTGAAAGTAAACTTTCTTCAAACAACATTTAACCTGATTTAGCCCTAATGGACCTAGGGTGGCACAGTGGTTAGAGTGCAGTACTGCAAGCTACATCTGCTGGCTGCTTGCAATTTTGCAGTTCAAATCTCACCAGGCTCAAGGTTGAGTCAGCCTTCCATCCTTCCAAGGTGGGTAAAATGAGGACCCAAATTGTTGGGGGAAATATGCTGACTCTGTAAACCACTTAGAGAGAGCTGTACAGCAGTATATAAGTCTAAGTGCTATTGCTAATATGAGATTCCATTTTGCAAACTTTTTTTGTAAACTGCACTTGTTGTTCTGGATAAAAGTACACAGAGTAAAACGTTTTTATTAGTACTTTTATAGCTTACTTATAAGCTTATTTTTATAGTAAGACATATGCCTTTGGAATATCACTGCCCACTTTCTCAAGAAAAACAACAATCTCAAGAAAACGATTAAATAATAAATAGGATGGCTGTGGAGTTCCATTGTGCTGCCAATCCTCAGCCGAGGCGTTGAAGGTGCATGATAATGAGTGAGCCGGTGTTGTAGCTGGGCTTCACTGACATCGGGCTAAATTCCGCCGAAATAATAACAATTGACGCTTCACTACACTTTGTGCTTCCCTTCCAATTTTACTATGCAGGCTGTTTTCCCTCTCTGCAAAGAGCGCTGTTTTCCCCAGGCAGTCGAGGTTTCCAAAAGGTCAAATTCTAACGCCCGTCTGCATCGAAACTATTTACAAACAGAGGCTTTCCCATGCACGGGCGCTTGACCCGAAGAAAAGGAGGGGAGGCCGGTCTTCGGCCGACGTGAGGAAGCGGCTCCTTTAAGTACCGGGCTGCGCCTCCTCTTTCCCTCAGCTGCTCCCGGAGCTGCGGCGAGGCGAAAGCGCCTGGTCCATTGTTTTGGGGGGGAAAGCGCAGGCGCGCGCGGCTTTTGCCATCCGGAGCATCCTTGCCTCCCGGTCAGCGCATCTCTCTTTGCATCTCACCTGCCGGCCTCCTAAAGGCAGGTCCGGCGCGCGTCCTCGTCAGCAAGCTACCCAGGGCTTGCGCTCGCGCGCGCGCGCGCTCTCTCGAGGAAGCGCCATCCGGCCGCCTGCCGATGGCTTTCTCCACGCGCGAATGGACCGGGCTGGCCGCCGCGTCCCTCAAGTAAAGGCGGGAGAGGAGCGCCCGCCAAGGCAGGAAAGCCAAGAGCTCTTCAGCCGCACTTTGTGCCTGTCTGCTCCGGCCTCGTCTTCATTCCCACCCACCCCCTCCTGGTCGCCGCCGCCTCTTCCATCATGCCGTTGGCTTTCTGTGGCAACGATCAAAACTCGACTCCCTACAAGGTGACCGACGGGGTGCTCAACAACGGTTGCTTCGTGGACGCCCTGAACGTGGTGCCCCACGTTTTCCTGCTTTTCATCACCTTCCCCATTCTCTTCATAGGTGAGTGCAGCTCTGGGAGGAGGGAGGGAAGAGGACGTGAGTGGGTGTGGGTGCAAATGCTTTCTTCGCGCCTGTCCTTCCAGCCGTTTGCAGCGCCCACATTCCCCAATTCCCAGCAGATTCCCGGTCCTCTTGCTGTCCTGCTGGGCTGCGCTTCTGGGTCACCGTCCTTGGCGTCACCCATCTCCAGCGGGGCGCAGGAAGCAGGAGGACCGGCTGCTTATTCGCAGAGCTCCAAGGAACGGACGAATTGAAATAAGCGAACTCCCGCGGGCTGAACGAAGCTGACTGCTTTCTTGCCTCAAAAGTGGTCCCCCCCACCCAAAAAAACCCTAAGCTGGGGTTGTTGCTTTATTAAATGATACGCGAGGATGCTTGCAGTATTTGAGAAGAACAATATTTGATTCCACTGAACCTATTGGAGACCGGACGGAGCGGACATCCTATCCAGGTCATCGGCTGCCAAAGAAGGATTGCTTGGTGAAAAGGAGAAAAGTGATAGAAGAAAGTAGGTCAGTGGAGTCAGTAATCCGGGTCCTAGTTGTCTCAAAAGTAGGAGTTTTTTTTTTCTTTCTCAAAAGGCTGCTTTTACTTGAGGAGGAAGAACAAAATGTTTTGTTTTTCATTGTTCTTCTTCCTGCAGGAAAAACGGCCCAATTGCTTTTTGAGAAAGGGGGAGACTAATTTTGAGACAACTAGGACCTGGATTACTGACCCCACTGACCTGCTTTCTTCTTTCACTTTTCTCATCTTCCCCAAGCAATCCTTCTTTGGCAGCCGTTGACCTGGATAGGATGTCCGTTCGTC